CTAAGACCCAATGCCCGAAGACCATAAGACCCGAAGGCCCTACGATCGTCAGACTCTAAGACCCTAAGACCATATGACCCTAAGACCTTAACGCTCCAAGTCCCTAAGACCCTAATGCCCGACGGCCGTAACACCGGAACGCCTCAAGACCCTAAGGCCCGAACACCCTAACATTCTTAGGCCCGAAGACCATAAGACCCTAAAACCCTAAAGCAACAAAACTCGAATACCCTAATTCCCAGATGTCCTGATACCTTCGTACCCGAACACTGGAACACCCTAACACCTTAATGCTCTAATGAGCTAACACCCTAACACATTGATGCATCAATGCCCCAGGACCCTAATACCCTAACACACTAACACTAATATTCCTAAGACGGTAACATCTCAATACCCTGAGACCATAACACCTTAACACCCCAATATCTTGACGCCCTGCTACCCGAATGCCCTGATATCCTGATGCACGGCCTAAGACCACAACACCCTAATACCCTAATGCGCTGGTGCTCTGATGTCGGGACGCCCTGATACCCCAATACCCTAATACCAGCACGCAGAGACTCGGAGACCCTAATTCTCCAATGCTCTAATACGCTAAAACGCTAACGCACTAATAAAGTTATAGTACCATAATGCCCTAACACCCTGCGGCTTAAGCGCCCTAAGACCCTGAGGCCCGAAAACCCTAGGACCCTGGTGTCCCGAGCAGAACCTTCTCTCGGCAGGAATTGTCCAGTGTGTCGCTGGCGAAACGCTTGTTTTCATTTGCGCGGAGGGGGAACTGATATGCGTTTGGTGCTTTAAAATTTTAGCGCGTGTTCACGCGTCCAGGCCACACAGGGGGATCTCCAACACGTCCAGGCCTGAGCAACTTGTGAGGGTGTCTCGAGCGAGGGCTTCGGAACTGAATCGGGTCTTGGGCTCGAGCTGATCGAGCGCCCCGCGCGCTTCGATTGCAACTAGCCCGAACTATGCGTTCAGGCAGCTCGAGCTCAAGATCCAAATCAGTTCGGTCAGGATTCTGGCGCCAAGGACGGCGTCTCTCTAACGTGAGGATTTGTTGAGAGGTATTGAGCGAAACGCTTAGTTTCACGTGTCCTGGTCGCCCACGAGGATCTCTACCATGAGGTCGTCGGGCTCTTCGCACGTAGAAATACTCGCGTGGAATGGACGTGTAATTGCCTGTCGCCCAAGCTTGGTATCTTGCAACGTTTCCCTGCTCTATTTCCATACCCTTCCGAGTTCGTATGTCGATAGTGTTTAATTCTTAATCGAATGTCCTCGACGTCCGATTTTCGTTGACATGCGATTTTCGTGCACTGTTTCGGTGATGTTCGTTTGCGTTTGCATTGGTCGTCAATTTGTTGCGAGCTGGCTTGCTCGGAATGGGCTTCCTTGCAATAGCGCTGGCAGCACGAAGTGCGCCGGAAGCGAATCCATTCCTTTCCACGCACTTGAGGCTTCACCCAGGGGCCGCCACGCGCGCGCGAATTAGAAAGATTCCAAGCCTCTCACCAGAGATCCACTTCGCACGCCTCTCGTCCGTCCATTAGGCTGGGAAATTGGAGCCTCCCTGGGCCCGGACCGAGTTGGAGCCAGGCCTCCTCGGCTCGCCCTTCCCGGCCACCCGCCCCCCGAGGGGGGCAAAGATAACCTCGAGGCCCCTGTCCCCCCCCTGGCGCACCCCTGCCCCCCCCCCCCCCCCGAGGGAACAAGCAAACAGGCCCCGAGGGGGAAACAAGAGAAGACCAGAGGGTGAAAGTGCAGACCCGAGGGGAGACATATAGCCCGAGGGACAGAACACAAGACACGCCCCCCCCCCCCCCCCTCGAGGGGGATACCCCCCCGAGGGGGGAAAAAAGGGACACGAGGGGAACAACAAAAAGTATCCCCCCGCCGCGGCGCGACGCGCGGGGGGCGGGTGCGGGGAGGCGGGGCCGGCGTCGGCGGACGTCTGCCGTCCGCGGCAGTCCCCGAAGCCTCCGTGCGTGTGCCTCGCCGCTGTTCCCGCTCTCCTCCTCGCTCCTGTGATTTAGTCGGGGCATGTCCCTCCTACAGTCCTACAGTCGGGGGCGGAAAAGAGGGGGGTGATGACTAGGGGGGAGTGGATATCATGGCGGGGGCCATGATATTTCCCCAGATTTCATGGCGCCTCTTCTTAGTTCATTACGTCCCTGGCCCCCCCGCTGGGCCGCGCACATGCCGCCGGTCATGATTTGCACCCCCCCCTCTTGGACACCCCCCTCTTGGCCGCTCCCGATACAGGAGGAAAACTCAGAAATAGTGAAACATAGTCCCGGGACGATGTGTCGACCCATATGACAATCTTTGTGAGCATGTCGATGACTACTTCTCGTGTTTCGCCCGAGGTCCGCCTGTTGGGGGACATGCTCGATCTAGCGCTCTCCTCCTCGCTCCTGCGAGGAATGGCCGAGCCTTCGAGGTGAACATCTATTCGAACCCGCACAGGGAGGTGTTCACCGTGAGGAACTGAGGCTTCTTGCTAAGGCCTTGCGGCTGGTGTCGCCGACCCTGAAGACGATGACGACGAAAACGAGGAGGAGGAGGAGGAGGAGGAGGAGGAGGAGGAGGAGGAGGAGGAGGAGGAGGAGGAGGGGGATTAAGGTTGAAGGGAGCAGGAGAAGGCGAAGGAGGTGTTCCCCATGTGGGCCGAGGGAGTCGTAGCAGAGATGGACATTGAGCCTTGTGGCCTGTGGCCCTTCCCGCCACCGTGCTGGGGTTGTGGTTGAAAGGCCTCTTGGATATTTTCGGGCCTGTTGGGGCCTCTGTTGGGCCTCTTGGGGGCCTCTTCGGGTCCCTTGAGGGGCTCTTGGGGCCTTCCGGGGGCTTCTTGGAGCGGGAAGCTCGAAATATCGGTTCGTGGTCCTCTTCTTGGGCCTGCTTGGGGCCCTCTTGGCGCGTCTTAGCGCTTTTTTTCGCTCTGGGACGCCCAGGGGCGGATGCGTATCTGACCCCCCCCCCCGCGGGACCCCCCTCCGGTTCCCCCCCCCTCGGCGGGGGAGGAATCAACGGGAAGGGGCTTCCCTTAGATTTAAGTACGACGTTGCTACGGTTTTCTCTTGCTGGCAGGCTTGAAGAGGAGGTGCAGAATAACGGGACGACAGAGACGCATGGAAAGAGGACAATGGATGCGTCGATTGAGCGCACGCCGACAGGGGGTCTACACGCCGACAGGTTCGGCGGATTTTCTTCGGTGCCAGGTTTTGCATCTTTGCCTTCCCATGGGGGCGCTTTGCCAGGACGATCCTCGACTTTTAAGTTCTAGACGCTTCGCGTAAACCCGCTCCCACTCTGTTTAAGTTCTAGACGCTTGCGTAAGTTCGTGTTATTCGGCTCTTGCGCGGCCTGCTCGGACCTCACTCGCCGCTGGCGCCTTCGCCTGCGGTTGCGACAAAAGCAAACCCGCCAGCCCATTCAGAGACTATGCTCAGGCGAGTTGCCCTGAACGGGGATGTGGAGGAACATGCAGTGGAAGAACTGGTTGGGTAAGCCGTTGTACTCCAAGAGGGGGAGTATGGAAGAGAAATCGGAGGAGGATGAGGAGGAGCGGTGAGGAGGAGGAGAGGGAATTGAGTGGAATTGACCTATTGCGACGCGAAGTAACATGACCTGAACACCACCCAAGCCGTCTGCTCGGGTTCAGTCAGGCTAGCGCACACGGATAACGATCAAGCAATAGACGAAGCGGAGAATGTAGAACAGGCAGATACTTGGAGCCCGAGAAAAACGGCCAAGAAACCCATAGCGTACGCGAAGCCTGAAATGCTCCCAGACCCTCCTATACCTCGGATGAAAACTTCATGGCGCACAAAGGAAACAGAAGGCTAAGCAGAAATATGCAGAAATGATGTCAATTCGATGCGACCCTCCGAACAAGCAAACCAGCGTCACACGGCTCCGAAGTGATATCGTTTCTCCTGCGAATTGCTTCGCCAACTGCCAAATACTGAACAGCTGCTTTCCTCCAGAACTGCCTGAAACGGACGAAGCCTACGGAACACATGGATACCGTAGACGAGTGGCTCCAACCCGCCACACTCCAGGACGACCTGAAAAAAAACGCCATGCTGTTCACTCCTGCAGCCCATGCGGATACCGAGCAAATGCATCCACCTCGTGCGCCGTAATGCAAACCACAACACGTTGAACAGCGATACGCATATAATGCCCCTGGCTAGGGAAAACTATTGGTTCAAGCACAACCACCCATTGAAGTACACCCAGGCGGGAGGCGTTGGGTCTGTGCACGTTGGTTCCCACTGTCCCTGCCGCCTGGGATGGACGCCGACGAGATCGAACCGGAAGGTAAGGGCCATAATGATATGCGCAGCATGCAGTCCGTACGCAGCCTTTCCCGTGGGGGCGTGGAGCTAGGAGTCCCATGGCAAGTGTGAGCCCGCATGGGTACGACACGCGCCTCAGGCACCCTGTGCTTGAGGGGGGAGGAGGAGAGGGACGGGGAGGGGGAGAAGGAAGAGAGGATGAGGAGTAGGCGGATGAGGACGAGGGGGAGGAGGAGAGCGAGCAGGAAGGCCAGAGGCCCTTTGGATGTCTCTCGGAGTTTCTTCGGATGCCTCTTGAGAGCTTCTTCGAGTCCTCTTGGGGCGTCCTGGGGGCCTCTTCGCGGTCCCAGGGGCCTCTTGGAGCGTCTTGGGTGTCTTGGTGGAGCCTCTTGGGGCCTTTCGGGTATCTCTTTGGAGCCTCTTGGGGGCCTCTTGGGGGCCTCCTTGGGCCTCCTGGGCGGAGTGTAGCATCGCCTCTCTGGAGCCCACTAAGTCGCCTCTTGGGTTCTCGGGACCCTCTTGGGGCGCTCTTGGAGCGCTCTTGGGCTTCTTGGGGCCCTTGTGGGGCCCTCTTGGGCCCCTCTTGGGCCTCTCTTGGGCCTCTCTTGGGGCCCTCTTCGGGCCTTCCTGAGGCCTCGGGAGGCCATCGGAAGCGAAATGGTGAGAAGGCTCAGGTCATTGAATTCTTCAGGTGTTTCAGAGATTTGAGCCTCCTGATGGCGTCGTTGGAAATCTCCGTGGCCACTTGAACCCGCCTCGGGGCCATCAGTGGGCCTCTTGGTAGCATCTTAGAGACCATCGTGGGCCAGCTCGAGACCATCATAAAGTATCTAGGTTCCTCTCGGAACCATCTTGGGCCAAAAGCCTCCAAAAGATGCACCGAAAAAAACAACATTTTTCGACATGCACTTGTTTGTCAGTGTTTTTGTTGATCAAGAGGGTGGAGCTCCAATTCGCGTCACCTCCCTGGAGTCGCAAAAATCGCCTCTTCGGCGTTCTTGGAGCAATATTGGGCTCTGTTGGGGCCGTCTTGAGGCCTTCCTGGGCCCTTCTTGGATATCTCTTGGGCCTTCTTGGAGCCGTCTTGAGGCCCCGGAGGGCGGTCATCAAACGCGAATCGGCGAGACGGCAGAACACATGGATTTTCCGTTGGTTTTGTGGTTTTGGCTTCTTGGCGGCTTCCTTGTGAGGCTCCATGGAGCATCTTGGAAACCATCTTGAGCCATCTGAGGGCCTCCCGAGTCATCTTGGAGATCATTTGGGGCTAGCTGATGCCTTCTTGGACCCATCTCGGGCCATCTTGAGGAGGAGGAGGAGGATGAGGAGGAGGAGGAGGAGGAGGAGGAGGAGGAGGAGGAGGAGGAGGAGGAGGGAGGTGGTATTCTGACCCGGGACCCCCCCCAGGACCCCCCCCAGGACCCCCCCCAGGACACGCCAAGGGACCCCCCCCGAGGAGGAGGAGGAGGGGGAGACAAACGAAAAGGAGATGGAGAAGGTGGCTAAAGACGCTCAGGAGGAGGAGCAGGAGGAGGGAAGTGGTATTCTGGCCCGGGACCCCTCCCAGGACCTCCCCCGGGCCCCCCCCCAGGACCCCCCCGGGTTTCCCCCGGGACCCCCCCCGGCCGGGGAAGGGAACAAAAGGAAGGAGAAACCCTTCGAGTCAATTTACTTTACGCAGGAGGAAGAGATGGGAGGAGGAGGAAGGAGGAGGAGGAGGAGGAGGAGGAGGAGGAGGAGGAGGAGGAGGAGGAGGAGGAGGAGGAGGAGGGGGAGACGAACGAGAAGGAGACGGAGAAGGTGGGAAAGGGAAGGAAGCACGGACGAGAAGAACAACCCATTCCACACGCCGACAGGGTCGGTGGATTTTCTGTCGATTACAAGTTTGAAGCGTAGATGCACTTGCTTTCATGAGCGAGGCACCGATGACCTCGTGATTTCCTTAGTGATCGACTATATTCCACGGTGGACTTCATCGACTACGCCTACAATGAACCACCGCCGCCCTCTGCCCTTGCGGACGCGCCGATGTGGCCGAACTTTGCATCCAGAGCTTGGACACACTATCGGACAATGTGTTCCCCGAGCCATTGTGGAAACGCTTGGGGGGAACTCCATGGAGGAGGAAGAGGAAGAGGAAGAGAGGGAGGACAACTTAAGAGGATGATGATGATGATGATGATGATGATCATGATGATCATGATGATCATGATCATGATGATGATGATGATGATGATGATGATGATGATGCTGCTGATGATGATGATGATGATGATTGATGATTGATGATTGATGATTATGATGATGATGATGATGATGATGATGATGATGATGATGATGATGATGATGATGATGCTGCTGCTGCTGCTGCTGCTGCTGCTGCTGATGATGATGATGATGATGATATGATGATGATGATGATGATGATGATGATGATGATGATGATGATGATGATGATGCTGATGATGATGATGATGATGATGATGATGATGATGATGATGGATGATGATGATGATGATGATGATGATGATGATGATGATGATGATGATGATGATGATGATGATGATGATGATGATGATGATGATGATGAGGAGGAGGAGGAGGAGGAGGAGGAGGAGGAGGAGGAGGAGGAGGAGGAGAGGAGGAGGAGGAGGAGGACACATTTTGGGAGCCTCCTGGGTCACTCTTGGGGCCTCCTAAAAGCTTCCTGAAGGCCTCTTGGAAGCCTCTTGGGGGTCTCATTGGGCTTCTTGGGGGCTTCTGGGGGCTTCTTGTGAGCCTCTTTCGCTGTCTTGGGTTGTTCCTGGCCCGTCTGATGCCGTCGGAAACCATCTTGGGGTCTACCTGAACTGATTTGGGGGCCCTCCTAAGGCGCTCCAGGGCCGCCTCGGAGGCCATCTTCGGCGTCTTGCAAGCTTCTTGGGTCTTCTCAGGGCCCTCTTGTGGCCGTCTTGAGCCGTCTTAGGGCTCTCTTGAGGCCGTCTTGAGCCGTCTTGCAAGCTTCTTCTTCGGCGTCTTAGGGCCCTCTTGGGGCCGTCTTGAGGGCCTCTTGAGCCGTTACGGGGCCATCTTAGAGGCCACTTGGGCGCTCTTGGGGCGACTTTGGGGACCTCTTGGGCCGTCCTCAGCCGTCGGACGACCGAAACGAAGCATATGCCAACATCCGACAAAACCCTTGAGTAAATCAACGATT